TTTCATGCGAATGTGGTAATATTAACAAAAGTTAATTAATTTAATTAAGTAATTTTCAGTAGAGAGTTTATTCCCCACTACATACATATATATATATATATATATATATATATATATATATATATATATAGGTACCTCCACGAGATCGCTAAAAACAGAGCATAGTATGATGAAAAAGACGCCAAAGTTGATGAAAACAAAATTTTCGCGTCTAAATGCTTATGTTATTATTGAGAGAAAAGATCAAAGTATTTTTTACTTATTCTTAAAATTTTTTCCTTCTTTTTTTTAGAACATTGTAATTTTTTGATTAAAAGACCTTGTTTTAAAATTTTTTATCATTTAATTTTATTGATAAATGAACGTATAAACATTTTCGCGCGTTTTTTCCTGTTTGACACATTAATTTGGAAAATCTTGCAAAAAAATGAAAATAATTGTTTGATTTTAATGAAACTTTCAGAAACTATTCACAAATGATGGAACTTATTAGAAATATATATTTTTTTAGTAAAGTCATCGAAGAATTTTTTTTTCATATGTAATACCCCCCCTAACTAATTGTACGAAAACTCTATAATTTCAATTTTGAGGAGTTTACTGATTATATTAGTTAAAAGCAGAATGCTTTGAGGAAACAAAATCATGTTTTTTTTTTTTAGTTGGAGCCCTTCTACCTGAAAATCGTCTCTGAAGTGTAACATACAAAACTCAATAAAACAAAAATATTATTTAATTTTTATATATATAATTATTTATTTAAAAATATAATTATATTTATGCTCTAGTTATGTATCGAGCATTATTTTTTTAAAAAATAACTAAAATACTAAGGGACTATGGATTATTTACCTAAGCAGTTCCTTCCTATTTTCTATATTTTTTCACACACACACATATATATATATATATATATATATATATATATATATATATATATATATATATATATATATATATCGGTCGACATACAGGTATATCGTCTCAAGTTTTTGATTTTATAGGAAAAAAACACATGCCTGATGATGGATGGAAGACTGTCCGTAAGTACTAGCATTTTAACATCAAATAAACTGAAAAACTAAAGACAACAAGTTTTTCTTCAAGGATCAAAACTCGCACTATGGATGAACAGGATTTTAATGCATATATTATGTTTTTTCTAACGATGGATGTCGTCAATAATCGCATTGATACTTCTGATTAATCCTATGTGTGATTATTCTTTTTGAATAGATATATATATATATATATATATATATATATATATATATATATATATATATATAGTGATACCTAGTCTAAATTCGTTCCGAGTTAAGTCATTTTCGAAGATACGCCGTTTTATCATAAGTATTATATCGAAAATAAAACTCGCCTGAGGTCGTTTTACTCGGGTTTACCTAAATTTAACATTGGCATTTAGTTAATTATTTTTTTATTATTTTATTCATAATACTGTAGGTCAGTGAGTTATGTGGCATGCGTGATACACACCGATTCCTCAATCCGAGTCAGTAGTTCACTTCTGAACCGACTGTTCGGTTGAACTCTCTTCCTACGGAGGGGAGGAACCCGAAGGAGGCTCCGCCGAAGGGCGGACTCTCCTTCGGGGAGGTAAACTCGGCCCTGAACCCCGTTTATACGGGTTCAATGGGATATTACAGCCGAGCCCACGGGCTCGGAATGCCCACGTTAAAAAGGCCTTCTGCCACATGACACCCTCGTGGGGGGGGGGGTGACTCAATATCGTGATACACACCGATTCCTCAATCCGAGCCGCCATCCGTTACTCCACTGTGCCTTTTTATTTACTGTTTTGAAAACAGCGATATTTTCCTCCGTTGTACTTGTGTTTATAAATTCATATTGCAAAATGAAATCCATACATTTACGTTGGTAATGGCCCATTACGCATTAGTAACGAAAAGTTTTCCTTTTGTCTTTTACATATATATATATATATATATATATATATATATATATATATATATATATGCTTTCAGAGGTGTTGAGGCCTCACACTTATGCACACCCATACTAATATACACACTTATACGCATCATACTCACTCACTCACTTCCTAAGAACTAAATGACGCACACTTAACATAGACACATCCCTTTCCAGGAACCAATAAATCTGTCAAAATGACCAAGGGAATTCAGACCAGCATGAATCCATCAAGCCTTTAGCTTAAATAAAAACTTAAAAGTGACTGTTTTCCCAACACAAGAACTGACTAAAATTTATAAAACTTAAAAAAACAAAAAGACAAAAATTAAAACTATAGATGAAGTTCATTTTCTCCAACAAGTCATTCACTCCTGTAGTTCACTGCTACTAAGAAGCAGAAGTTTTTTTTTTTCTCCTGATGATGGCCATGTTGGCCGAAACTAGTCAAGGAATCTAATTGAAATAATAAAACGAAAAATATTAATATACAACCCAGTTTGTCTGAAAATTTTAATTTTAATTAAATTAATTAATTTTTATTGTT